GGGAGTTGGAGGGGCTCCCTGATCGTTCAGCTTGAACAGTCTCGGACTTGGGTCCTATTTCTCAAGAGCAGTACAATCTGTGTTTCTGTGAAGCTCAGTGCTATTCTAGAGCCTGCTGAAGCTTCGCCATTGCCCTCCTTCCCTTCTGTAGCCACACAGATCTCTTTTTTTAACCTCTATAACAATCTCAGATCCGGGTTCTTTGCCCTTCTTTTTTCTTTCCTCTCTCCACCTGTTTTCACTAGGTTCCCACTCCAGGCATCCCTCAGACATACTTACTTTGGGAGTCCTAGGAAGATGGGGGAGCCAGTAGGTTGGGCTCTGAGGTAGCAAAATAGAGGCTGTGAGAACCCGTCGGGAGCCCTCGGGGTGGTGTGTGGGGGAAGGAAGCCCTTCCCCGCTTCCCTCCAAGGGAAACAGAATTTCTCATTTCCTTGGGAAAATGGATTGGGCCACACTTAGTATGGAGTCGTGTCCCCACTCCCTCTCCAGCCCTTCACCCACACGGCAGAGGGGACAAGGCCCGGGCCTGTGTCAGGGTGGTCCTGGCCGGGCTGGCCTCCCGGAAGCTCTCTCATTCATCTCTCTCCTTCTATGGGGACTGGACATGCATGGGTGCCCCCAAATACATGTTTAAAGACGTTCCTCACAGCAGTGTTGGTAATCCCGAGAAAGCTAGGAACATCAAATGCCCATCAACAGGGGAAGAGTTAAATTCTGAGGTATTTGTGTTATGACAAGAAATGAGGTCCATCTGTTTGGACTGACAAGTAAAATTGCCCTTGGTATCTTTCTCAATGAAGAAAAAAATCCGAACAAAACAGAAAAACCCCCACTAAGATGCCTGACTATATGGCTCTGTTTGTATAAGATTGGGTGGTGGTTTATATCTCAAAGGAAAGGGTTGAGGTGAAAGGAGTAGACTGACTTTTTACTCCAGATTGTTCTCTCCAGACGGGATTTTGTTTGGTTACCATGGACATGCATTACTTTTTAATTTTTTTCTTAAGCATTTTAACGTTTCAAATGTACTACATGGCTAATTTATTAAATAAATACCGCTACCTGTAAAAGGCCACAAAACGAAAACTAAAGTCTCACACCCCTCAGAGGTAACTACATTGAACTGTTTCAGCATTTAAAAAAAAAAAAAAGTAGGAAGTCCTTTACTTGGCAAATAGCAAATGTGCAAATCTCTAGAGGTAATGTGAAATGAAAAAAAAAAAAAACTAGATTTTTAAAAAAATGCACAGATGTGTTCCTGGACCAAAAACCCCCACAACCAGCAAACATAATGAATCACCGGGGAAACCAGGACTTCCTGGGGACACATTTCTTTTTTTAAGACTTATTTATTAGGGAGAGAGAGAGTGAGGGGGAGGGGCAGAGGGAGAGGAGAGGAAGAGAGAGAATCTCAAGCGGACTCCAACGCTGAGTGGGGAGCCCAATGCAGGGCTTGATCCCTGGACCCTAAGATCATGACCTGAGTCGAAATCAAGAGTCAGACACTTAACCAACTGAGCCACCCAGGCACCCCAGGGGACACATTTCTAATGGCAGATGAGCATCCTGGGCAGCCTGAATCCTGGGACTGACCCTTATCATAAAGTTTAATCTCCTTAACCCAGAACAATATAAGTAAAGTGTGGAGGTGGTAAGAGGGATACACAACCCACCTCAGAAGGACCTGCATCTGGAAAATTCTATGTGCCTTTCTCCTAGAAGAAAAAGATACTGCTTCCCCCCTACCCCTACCCATTCCTGTCTTTCTGAATGACTGAGGGAGAGCTGTGAGACCATGGGGGGCCTACTCCTGAGAGCCACCCTCTTCCTACCTGTATAAGCATTGGTTTTCTGCATCAGTTTTGCCCCACCCCATCCCCACCTCTCACCCTTGTTCAGACAGGGGTGAAGTTTGGCACATTTCACAGTTTGATTTCCTAGAGTTTAAGTATAACTGGAAACCAAATATCTATTGGATTTACACCTCTCTCTTCTCTAAGAATAGGAAAAAATAAGATGAAGCCAGGAGTGAGATTAGTTCCAAAAGGGTTCTGTTAATATGTATAATCTTAGTTTCATTTTTAAGAACTTGCTGCTAGGATTGAGGAGTTCACCTAAATGTCATCCCCCCCTCCTCCCCCGCCCTCCGCTTAGCCTGGGGAATAGATCAGCTGGGCCTGCTTTGGGAAGAGCTATCTCGCAGCTCTGGGTCGGGGACAGGTGCCGAAAGGCTGTGGCTGCTGGGGCCACAGTCTGGGCAGATCTCGCTGGGGAACCCCAGCTGCCTGCCTTCCTCAGCCAGTAGGTCACCAAGGCTGAAATCTGGATGAAGCAAGGATCAAGAGCAAAGTGAGAGAGAGAGGTGGCCGAAGGGACAAGCAAGGCAGCCTGGGTGTCTTGGGGGCAGGTGAGGGGTGTCTGGGTGTGCTGTGTAAAAGTTGGTAGGAAGTTGGGGCATCTGGGTGGCTCAGTCGTTAAGCGTCTGCCTTCGGCTCAGGGTCATGATCCCGGGGTCCTGGGATCAAGTCCCGCATTGGGCTCCCTGCTCAGTGGGAAGCCTGCTTCTCCCTCTCCCACTCCCCCTG